AGGAGGGAGGGAGAGAGGAAGGAAGGTAGGAGAGAGGGAGGGAGATGGAGCGACCGAAGAGGTGGAGAGGAGGAAGGAGGAGGGAGAGGGGAAAGAGAGGGAGGGAGGGAGGAGGGTGAGGGAGGAAGGAGAGGAGGGTGGGAGGGAAGGAGAGGGAGGGAGGGAGCGATATAAGGTGGAAGGGAGAGGTGGAGGAGAGGAGGAAGGGAGGGGAGGGAGAGGGAAAGAGAGGGAGGGAGGGAGAGGAGAGGAAGGAAGAGAGGGTGGGAGGGAAGGAGAGGAGGGAGGAAGAGAGAGGGTGAGGGAGGGAGGGAAGAGAAGGGAGGATAGAAAAGGGCGAGGAAGGGAAGAGGAAGAGGAGAAGAAGAAGAAGAAGAAGAAGAAGCAAAAGGAGGATGAGGAGGGGAAGAAGAAAAAAGAAGGAGGAGGCGGAAGGAGGAGGGTGAGAAGAAGAAGAGGGGAGGAAGGGAAAGTTGGAAAAGAGACGATGAAGGAGGGGGGGGGAGTTGATAATTAACGAGAAGTGGAAATACTACAAAAGAAGTGAGGAAAGACTTAAATGGACCCCCAAAGTACATTTATTTTGTTTTCTTAGTTTTCAAAAATCAAGTGGATAGCTGAATCGAGCTGTAATCTCCGCCGTAAGATGGTCTGTCTGATCTTTCTGATCTCCCCTCCCCCCTTCCCCTCCTCCCCCTACTCCCCTTCCTTCCCTACGTCTTATTCTTCCCCTTCCCCTCTCCTTTCCTACATTTCCTTTTATCTTCTTCTCTTCTCTTTTCTTCTTGTCTTTCTCTCTTCTACCTTGTCTCCTCCTCTCCTTCTTCCTTCCTTCTTCACCCTCCTTCCTCCCCTTCTTTTTTTCGCTTTCCCTCTACCGTCTCTTCTCTCTTGTCTTTCCCTTTCTTTCTTCCCTTTCCCTCTACCTTCTTCTCCCCTCTCCTTAACTCTCTTTTCTTTTTCTCTCTCTACTTCCCTTCTCCTCTCTTCTTCTTGCTCTTCCCTTGCCTCCTCCTCCTTTTTCTCCCTTTCTTCCCCCTCCTTCACTTCCTTCTTTCTCCACTCCATTTCCTTTCTCCTCACCTCCTTGCCTCTCCCTCTTCTCCCTTGCCTCCTCCTTCCTTCTTTCCTCCCTTTCTTCCCCCTCCTTCACTTCCTCCTTTCTCCGTCTCCATTTCCCTTCTCCTCCCCCTCCTTACCCTTCTCTCTCCCTCTTGCCTCCTCCTCCTCCCTCCCCTACTTCTCTTCCTTTTCCCCTCCCCTACTCCCCCCCATTCTCTCTCTCTCCCACCCCCACCCCCTGTCTCCTGTCTTTCAACCCCCCCCTGTCTCCTGTCTTTCCCCCTCCCCCTGTTCCTGTCTCCCCCCTCCCCCCTGTCTCCTGCCCCCCCCCCTCCCCCCCTTTTCCTCTGCTGACCTCCAAAGTCCAAAGAAATTTCAAAGGAATCTAAACGTGCAGAAATATTGAAGACTTAAGTTTATGAAGAAAGTTAAGAGGAGGGTTGGGGTGACAGAGAGGGAGGGAGGGAGGGGGAGGTTGGAGAGGGAAGGGGAGGGATGGGAGGGGGGAGGGTAAGGGGGAGGGAGAGGGAGGGTGGGAGGGGAGAGGGAGGGAGAGGGTGCAGAGAGGAGAGGGAGAGGGTTAAGAGGGAGGGAGAGGAGAGGAGGAGGAGTGGGAGGGGGGAGAGAGTGGAGGAGAGAAGAAAGAGGGAAGGGGAGAGAAGGACAAGAGCAGAAGAGAGAGGAGACTGAAAGGGCAAATAAAGACACGCACGCACGCACGCACGCTCGCACGTACACATTTCCGCATCTGCGTGTGTGCGTCTCATTCATATACGTGTATGCGTGTATGTATGTATGACTGCGTGTGTGCGTGTCCATCTATATACTTTTTTTTGCGAGTGTGTTCTTTCTTTCTTTTGCGAGTGTGTGTGCGTGTGTGTGTGCGCGTGTGCGTGTGCCTGTGTGCTGGGTGTGTGTGCGTGTGCTTGTGTGTGTGCCTGTGTGTGTGTGTGTGCCTCAGTTTGAAAAAAAATTGTCACGCACACGCATTCCCATTCCAGATTCGATTTATTCGCCCATGGCGTTTCTCTCTGTTCGTTATGAGGGCGATTTGATGGTTCTTTGCCGGTTGGTGGGGGTGGTGGGGGTGTTGGGGAGGTGAGGGTAGTGATGGAGGGGGTGGTGGGGTGGTGGTGGGGGGGGGTGAAGGTAGTGGTGGTGGTGGTTGGGGGGGGTTGGTGGGGGGAAGTGAAGTAGTGGTGGTGGTGGTGAGGTCGGTGGGGGTGGCGGTGGGGGAGTGAAGGTGATGGTGGTGGTGGTTCGTGGGTGGTGGTAGTTTTTTTATTTTGTTGTTGTTTTGTGTTGTTCTGTGATTGATGCTGTTATTATGATCATCATTATAGACATTAACATCATCACCACACTATCATCACGAGCAGCACCCACCAACACCACCAACCACCACCACACCATCACACACACCATATCACCATACCATACCACCCACCATCACACCACCACCACCGCCACAACACCAACCACCACCGCCACACACCATCATCACCACCACACCACCACCACACCACACATCAACCATCACCCACCACCACCACACCACACCACACCCACCACCAACCAACCAATATCATCACACATTCACACCATTATCGCTAATAATCATTAAAAAAAATCCAATGCAATTAAGGAAGAATGCGTGATCACGTGACCATAAAATATTATTGGAATGGAAAGTGAATAAAAAAAAAAATCCCTTGATTAATTTAGATTCGTGATCTGCAACGTAAATCCTATTTTTAGATCTCGCGAAATGTCAACTTTTTTTGCACTTGTACAAACAGCCGAAAATAGATAGATAAATAAAATAGATTAATTAAGTTTTTTGTGTGTGGATTTGAGGGTTTTGGTGAAAGTTTTATTTTTATATCAAATTTCGTTTATTGTTTTTATTATAATTGTTATTGTTATTGTTATTAGTATGATATTATTATTGTTGTTGTTGTTGTTGTTATTGTTATTCGTGGTATTATTATTATTATTATTATTATTATTATTATTATTATTATTATTATTATTATTATTATTACTATTACCATTATTATCAATAATATAATTAATAATCCATTATTATTATTGTTGTTTTGTTTGTTTATTATTATATTATTATTATTATTTTTATTATTTATTATTATTATTATTATTATTATTATTAATTATACCACCTATCATTGTTATTATTATCGTCGTTGTTTAGTTGTTGTTGTGTTTTATTATTATTTATTATTATAGTTGTTGTTAGTAGTATTAGTCATTATTATCCTATTATTATCATTATTACTATTATTATTATTATCATAATTATTATTATTGTTATTAATACCATCATCACCGTCAGCATTCCCACTACTTATCATTATTGCTATCATCATTACCATTTTAGTCGTAGCAGTATTGGTAATAGTACAGAGGAAGAAATAGTAAAATTAATAGTAATACTAACATTACCATAATTACCATTATTAGCAAAAATAACCTTTCAATAGTTTGTCAACCTTCCTAATAATATCTTTAAATATGTGTGCATGGTATATAACACGTGTTCACTAATTTATTTTTGTTTCTAATGACTATATCTCTGTTGCAATAACATGACGGAATCGCTGACGGATGAACATGTATGGAAAAATACGATGAGAGAAAAAAAAGGGAAGAAAAAACATGATAAATTAGATAAATTTCGGGATGATGTAATAGTGAAAAAAATATTACTTTCTTTACGGGCTTAGCTAAGGCCTTGTTACATCTGATTAGACTATTTTACGCTAATTTGGTTTATATAATATGGTTTATAGTGTTCCATGATTTATATGATTGCTATTTTTTCCACTGCAAATTGCAATTATTACTACTGCTGCTGCTGCTACTACTATCTACTACTATTGTTGCTGTTGCTACTACTACTACTACCACTATTACTACTACTACTACTAGTATTACTACTACTGCTGCTACTACTACTACTACGACTACTACTGTTACAATTTCTACTACTATTACTACTAATACTGCGAGTACTACTACTACTGATACTACTGCCACCTACTACTACTACTACTACTACTGTTGCTACTACTACCACTACTATTATTTCAGCTGCAAATACTATTACTACCATTACTAGTACTATTACAACAACAACAACTACAACTACTGCTGCAGCCACTACTATCACCGTTATGACTAATATTGTTATTATTACTGATATTGCCTCGTCGGGTCACAATCCATGGCATCATAATTATTCATAATAATATGATATAAAATTAATTCGCTCAAATTACTGGATCATATTTCTTTATATTTTGGCAATATAATATTGATTATGTATTTTAAAGCATCATTATTACAGGTGGTATTGTTATCATTATTATTGTCATTATCATCATTATTATTATTGTTGTTATTTATCGTCATTATTATTATGTTATTATTGATTGATGTTATTTTTGTCATCATCAATATCATTATTCTTATGTTCATTAAGATTATCATCATTTTTGTAATTATCATTATCACTATTGTCATCACATCACCATGATTATTGTGCTCATTGGTATTTTTGATATGAATATCTTTATTATCCTCAATGTTGTTGCCGTCATCTTATCATAATCATTAATATCATGTTGTTATGAATAACTTTGTGCCATCATCATCACCCCACCATCGTCATCATCATTATTATCATCTTCACCATCATCATCATCATCATCATCATCATCATCATCGTCATCTTCATCACCACCATCGCCATTCACCCACCACCACACCTCATCACCACCACCACCCTATCACCACCACCACCACCACCATCAACATCATCAATCATCACCCACCATCACCCCCCCCCTCATCACCCTCACCCTCACAACCACATAAACACACTTCTAACCCCCCCCCCTCTCCCCTTCCTCCCGCAGCAGGTTGGCACCCCCGACAGCGAGACGGGTGCCGAGTCTACCATCTACCGCGTGGCCATCGTGGGTGCCACAGGGGTAGGCAAGACGGCACTCATACACCAGTTTCGCACGTCAGAGTGTATCAACGCCTATGACTGTAACCCGAGTGAGTATGACCCAGCCAGTCAGATACCCTGTGAGTATAGTACACACACTCTCTCTCTCTCTCTATTTTTTTTTTTTTATTATTATTTTTTCTCTCTCTCTCTCTCTTTCCTTTTTTTCGATTTTTTTTTTTTTGTTTTTGGTTTACTATTTTCTAGCAGCTGCTTAATCACCATGTGCTTCTTTTTTTTTTTCTTTTTTCTTTTTTCTTTCTTTTTTCGTTTTTTTTTTTCTTTTTTCTTTTCTTTTCTTAACGTGTGTGATGTGTGGAAACTCACATGGGTTAGTTTTTTTTTTACGTAAAGATAAGTAAATCAATAAATTATTAGATAAATATAAATGATAAATTGTTTTATAAGTGAAGAGGTAAGGTTTTTACTCCAAGACCTTAAAAATACGATTAATTAAAAAAACAAATGAAATCAGGTGATAATATTCCTAAGGTAAGAAAGGATGGAATTTCAAGAAGTATACACCGAGTATGTGCGTGTTTCATGTGCGTATTTCGTGGGGGTTTACTTACACATGTGCGTTTAACCAAGATCCATGGCGTATAACCACCGTGTGTATTTTTTATCATAATCCAGTATATTATTTATTTATTTATAGTATTTATATAACCGTTTTGTGCTTTCTACTGACTTTGTGAAATGAGTTTGTCCGAATAAATGGAAGTCGTTTGTCGTACATTTTTATTAAGGTGATTTACGAAGGCGATTTATAAATAACAACGTTATGATATTGGTATGTTATGTAAATTATGCAGAAATTTGCAGAGTGTATATCCATGTCATGAAACAGTATTTTACGCATATATATTTATTTTGATAAAGTAAAAGGCTTTATTACATAAAAAGAAATCACACAAATACATATATACGTTGTGTGTGTGTTAGAAAATGCTAGATATCAGAATTTCTCAATTGCAAGAAAAAGGTTTTGCAATGCAGCGAAATTCCAAAACTTAAGATACTGCAATAGGTGAAGCATGTAGGTTTGCTTAATTAAATTTTATTTGACAATATTTATGTATACAGAGGATCAAAATATTTGCATATGTAATATATTCATGTATGTATAAGCCGTATGTATTGCAGAGATGTACACATACATACATACATACATGCACACATTAATTTTTCTTTCTATTTTATCTATAAGTTTGTAGGTGCACATATACCATTTAATTTAATTTAATTTAATGTTTAATTGCAGGTAGCTGCTGACAGTTAATAGACATGATTATAACTTTATATGAATTTATATTACACCGAATTTATATAAATTTATATAATTTATAAAACACCGGATGTAAGATCACAACCGAAATTTGTGACACGAAATCATCAATTTTGGAATATTATTAAATGAGAATATTCATTTTTTCAACTTTTTTTCCGCAAAGTAAGCTGGGAAAATATTAATATTTTGATGCCGTAGGAGAGTTCTATGTGATTTGGATGAAGAAAAGGATATAATCATAAATGTTGCATTTTGTTGCCTTCTGATGATACGAATTGCAACATTGATCAAAGCCGGAAGATTAAAAATGGTAATAATGATGATAAAAATAATACTAATAATGAGATAATGAAAAGATTCATAATAGTATAAAATAATAATGATATTATAACAAAAATTTATAATAATCCGAATAGTAATAACGATAATAATTCATAGGAAAATGATAAAAACAATAAAGAAAAGGAAAGAAAAATTAGAAAAAAAACGAAATATGAAAGAAAATAGAAAATAATTGAGAAAAAAAAAACTACCGTTGCCATTGGCGCTTGTGTATGACGTCATGGGGGGAGTGGGGGGGGAGGAGAAGTTAACTATCCTCGCAATGTCTCGGTTTGTGTGTGTTTGTGTGTCTGTTTATCTGTTTGTATGTTTGTTTTGTGTTTTTTCTCTCGGTTCCCTTTCTCTCTCTTCTCTCTCTCTCTCTCTCTCTCTCTCTCTCTCTCTCTCTCTCTCTCTCTCTCTCTCTCTCTCTCTCTCTCTCTCTCTCTCTCTTCTTCTCTCTCTCTCTCTAGATCTCTCTCGCTCTCCTTCTCTCTCTTCTCTCCTCCTCGTCCTCTCCTT